GGGAAGCCTGCTTCTCCCTCTCCCACTCCCCCTGCTTGTGTTCCCTCTCTCGCTATGTCTCTCTCTCTGTCAAATAAATGAAATCTTTAAAAAAAAAAAAAAAAAAAGAAAATGATTTGTCAGCCACACGTGAGTGTTTGTCTACCTTGCAATGGAGAAAGCCTCTGTCAGGATAATACCAAAGGGAGAAACCAGCATGGAGAGAAGCAATGTACTGAACAGTGTAGGAACAGAAGCCTCTGAATTTGAAGAGGCCATAAGCAGTAAGAAAAAGTAAACTACATGCTTGAGGACCACTTACAAGTAAAACTCCCAACCTGGTTCCTTCTTAGGAGATGCAGTGACTCTTTGCTGCTTACTGCTCTAGAAAATCAAACCCTCTCCTGAGGAGGCTAGACAGAGGGCAGAGGGCAGGGTGCTGGTGGTGGGATGGTGGGTCTATGTGCACAGAGTGAGCAAAGAAACATACTTTGTGCCTCAGTTTCCTTTTCTTGAAAGTACTTCTAAATTTTAATATGCACATGAATCACCCAGAAATCTTGTTAAAAGCGCAAATTCTGGTTTAGGAGGTCGGGTGGGGCTTGAGATTCCGCATTTCTAATGAGTTCTCAGGTGATGCTGGTGCTACATGGACCAGCAAAATTCTGGAAAAAACATGGATTCCATTCTCTCTTTCCATTTATACGCATGCATTGACACACACTCTTTGTTGCTGGTAAAGAAACAGCACACAGAAATAGAAATGTTAGATTTAACAGAAAACAAACAGAGACAACGAAATGTGTTCACTTACAGGTGACTCTGGGTTTATCCTTGACACCACAAGAGGCATCTTTTGATCCACTCCTCCCTATAAACATGTTAAATTGAAAAACAAAACACTTGAATAGCTCATAGCAACAAAGACACACAGATATCGCTTACACAGGGAGGGCTCAAACTTCACTTTAACCTATTCTAATCCCAAGGGTTGGCATCTTTTCAGGATTACAAGGTTCCTGACTCCGTGGGGTCTAGCAGGATAACCAGAGGACTGCTCAGAAGCCTCTTGCTGCCATCCCCACATTCCATGAACTAAAGATGTGCTCGGAGGGTCAAGCTTCTTTTTAAAAATACAAACATCCCCAGGGGACTCCAAAAGCACAGCCTAGAAGTGTTGCTGGAAAGGGAGTTTTCCGCATCGGAGAGAGAAGCTGTAGAAAAAGTCACATGCTGCAAGGGCAGGTCCTCAGCGGGGTGCTGGGGTATAGGAAGGGGGGTCCGAGTTGGCAGCTGTGGGGGTGGGCAGCGGAGAGCACCTGCCCTCATTCTGCTCTAGGGCAGGGCTTAGGCAACTCTGTAAAGGGCCCCAGGGTAAATATTTTAGGTATCGGAGAGGGGGCTCTGTTCCAACTGCTCAACTCTGCCACCAGAGTGTCAAGGTGGCCGATAACTACTTGTAAATGAATGGGTGTGGCCACGTTCCAATAAAACTTTATTTGCAGAAACAGATAGGATGTGACTTGTGGGCCAAAGCAGGCAGAGGTGGGTGAAGACCCTGTAACTTGCGCTGCTATTCTCTCTCATCGGCTTTAGTGATGCTGATGGGTTCCCTCAAAAACCCTTCTTCTGGGGCACCTGGGTGGCTCAGTTGTTAAGCATCTGCCTTCAGCTCAGGTCATGATCCCAGGGTCCTGGGATCGAGTCCCACATCGGGCTCCCTGATCCGCGGGAAGCCTGCTTCTCCCTCTCCCGCTCCCCGCTGCTTGTGTTCCCTCTCTCGCTGTCTCTCTCTGTCAAATAAATAAATAAAATCTTTAAAAGAACCCCAAAAAACAAAAAACCGTCTTCTGGAGGTAGAGTTACTTGGCCAACTGTGTGTCACCTCTCTGAGCCTTAGTACACATTTATGAAACGGGTTTAAAAATACCAACTTCACTGATTATAAGCACTCAGTGAGGTGACGTAAAGAAGTGCACAGTGAGCACCAGGCACAGAGTAGGCCCTTGGCATGAGGCAGCGCTATGGCCACATTAAAAACTCCCCAATTCTGAGAGCTGAGTCAGTTTCCTCATGCAGACTTAGGCATGCAGCACACTCCTAATGGAAATTTAAAAGCCATCTAAAGATGGCTTCCTTATAAAGACACACGACATACCTTCAGATTAAATCCGAATTTTCCATCTTCATCTGGCGTGATGCGGATCAAAACTAAGTAGCCATCACCATTATCATTCTGGAAAATGTTGCAAAAATGATTGATTATGTTACTCTCTCTCCTGTGGGTGGTGAGGAGGTATTTTCTCTTGGTCTTAATTACTTAAACTGCCCATGAGGCGCCTCGGCGCAGGGAAGCCTGGGTGGTCGCCCGGCCCCCCCCACTGCCACAGGACCCAAGCTCACCCACCTTGTCGCAGTAGTACTGGCTGGAGTCCTCGGTGGAGCCCCCTTTGGTCACCCTGTGGAAATCCTCTAAGAACTGCTGATCGACGCCATCTGGTGAGCAGGAGCCTGGAGCATTTGAAGATGGAGACACAGAACTGGATGACTTCTGGGTCAGGCAGCTTTGTGCTGGATTGTTCTCGGATATACTCCTTCATTATGGGGAAGGAGGAGATATCTTAATAACTGGATTAACATTTTAGCAGAGCAAGCATTATTGACTGTCAAGGCCTGGCATCCCAGGGCTGTCATGAATCCCTGCAACCTTAGGTGAGCTCCACAGGTCAATCCCAGGGCTCGGGCACACCCGGGGTCCATGGGCCGCCCTTGCCCTTGTCTGGCCTGAATATAATCAGCTTTAGTTTTGGGGAAAAAGGCAGAAGGGCAGGGAGGATCCAGGAGCTGCTGAAAACTCAGCTCCCTTCCCAGCTGCTCTGAAGGTGACAAGGAAATGTGCCCAGCTACTCTGCTGGCTTAATTACCGAAGCTCACTCAGATGCATGCCTCCATCCCTTATAAAAGCTTTTTCCTTCCATCTCATTCCTGCTCTTAGCTCTGTGTCAGTAGGACTCTTGGCTACCCGCCCCCCCAAATGGGACTAATGTTCCACATCCAAGACAATTTATATTAATCCTAGTTTGCATTATTTGCCTGTGATCTCCATTAATTGCCTAAAATGAGATTATACTTTTTTCATCTCTAATATATACCCTCCTGTGGCCATTCACATTTAAATGAGGATCAGGAAGTTCTTTGGTCATATCAGTCACATCTCAAAAATGCTCAGGAGCCACATAAGCCTTGTGGCTCCTGTTTTGGATGGCATGGTTACAGAACATTTTTTTTAAGATTTTATTTATTTATTATTATTAAAGATTTTATTTATTTATTTGAGAGAGAGAGAGAGAGAGCACAGAGGGAGAGTGAGAGGGAGAAGCAGACTCCCTGCTGGGCAGAGAGCTGATGCAGGGTTCGATCCCAGGACCCTGAGATCATTACCTGAACTGAAGGCAGATGCTTAACTGACTGAGCCACCTGGGCACCCCAAGATTGATTGATTGATTGACTGATTGATTGATTTATGAGAGAGAGAGAGAGAGAGAGAATGAATGAGCAGGGGGGAGGGGCAGAGGGAGAAGTATACTACCTGCTGAGCAGGGAGCCTGATGTGGGGTTTGATCCCAGGACCCTAAGATCATGACCTGAGCAGAAGGCAGACGCTTAACCAACTGAGCCACCCAGGTGCCCCCAGAACATTTCCATCAGCACAGGAAGTTCTACTAGACAGTGCTGTCTTAGAGAATTACAGACGATGAGAACTGAACAGACCTCTGAAGTCCTCTGGTCCAACTCCCATTTCACAGGTGAAGAAACTATGGTCCAGAGAGGCTGAGTGACTTGCCCAAGGGCAGTCAGCTTTCCCCTCACTTAACATACAGAATCTGATGGACCTGGGTCCCGGAGCATCTCTTTCTTCTCTGGGCCACACCAAGTCTGTTCCTAAGACCCCCTCCTCCCCACCACAGAGGGCCACAGGGATTAACCATCTCAGCTGTAACTGTGTAGGGCCCTCGACTTCTCTGCATCACACACACCCACACTATCCCCCCTCCAGAGCCACAGGCCTAGCAAAAGATGCCTTAAAATGCCTACAGAATATAGGGTTTTCCTTACCTTCTACAGACTCTGCCACATTCTAACCTCAAACAGACTTAAGAGATGACAGAGGAGAGTAGACAAGGCATTCAGTGACACATAGTAGACAAAAGACAGTTGCTGCTGCCTCATTAAATTTTTATCTCAAACCCTTCTCCGTGCATTTTTCATTAAATTGGGGCTTCTCTGCTTCTTAGCAAGTTCAAATTATCTTACTCTAAATATAAAATCTGTATCATATTCACACAAGAATTCACAATCTCAATTTATGTGAATATAAAAATTCAGTGACAGACCAGTGTAGAAATAACAGCGATATGCGAGACTAGAGTTTGGCCCTATGGCTTTTGAGCTGCTGGGTTAGGGAAGGGTGCTATGGATGGGAAGGCATTTCAGAGACAGGATATTTTGGAAGTGAAGCTGCATGCCAGTGGTAAGTTTTCAGAGTGAAGATGAACAAATCTTTAATTTACTTTAAGCTTTAAAAAAATTACCCCCAAAGAGGGTAACTTGGCCAGTTTCATGTTTATATGAGCACCCCGTGGCAGGAGGGGCAACTGCTTGGCAGTTGCCAGACAAAAATCAAGCCAAACCCGGTTTAGGAAACACTACTATTTCCAGTTCTAGGGGTGGAGCTGAACCTTTAATACGAAGTTGCAAATAGCAAACACACTTCAAACGTTTGGAAGACTCTGGAGGGTGATAGCGAAAGAAAGGGTGAAGGGCATATAAACAAAAAAAACCCCAGAAAAGCAAAGTGACAGAGCAGAAGAGAACAGACTAATTTCAGTAAAAGTCTAATTTTATATTCATTATATTTAATTTCTACATTTTGAATGTGTGGCTTACATCATATAAAGTTTTAAAGTATTTTTCTCTTTCAGTATAAAATGTAGCGGTCTATCTAACACAGCCCACAGTGCTAAAAATAATATATTCCAAGTCATTATGTGCCCAATCCTATTTTCTAAGTAGGGATGGAGAGGTTACTTTTAGAGAGCAATTTATTAAACATATGACGATTTTTTTTTTTTTTTTTGGCTGATCAACTATGTACAGACGTTCCCTGTAGGCTGCAGTAACGTTCTGCTCAGCGTGGAGGATGGACAGACAGATGGTGAGGAGGACATCAAATGAGAAGCAACAAGAACATGGCAGCTGGATGCAGCACACGGATGCCAGGAGCCAAGACGCCAAACCAAGTGGGCTTCCTCCCTCCTTGGGGCAGGAGATGAGGTGCTGCTGAGGGAGAGTCTGGTGGGTGAGAAGGGACGAGGGGAGCTGCCAGGGGTACCTGGGCTCTAGGGAAAGGAGCGAAGAAAGGGGTAGGACGAGCCAAAGCAAGAAGCCAGTGTGGGCTGACAAAGCCAATAAGTGGGAAGAAGGTCTGTCCCTGGGGCAGGAAGGGGGCACTTGTCAGGGGAGGGGAGACACGGTGGGGGGGGACTGTCACTGCTGTCTGGGATCCAGAGCAGCCAGGGAGGGCCTGCCCACCTCCAGCTCCCTGGGGAGACAGGGGCAAGGACAGACTGAGAGGCAGACCAAAGGGTATTCGCCTTCGGGAAACAGATGCTTCAGAACTCTAAGTGCCACCGACTACAGGTATGAAAAACCAAAGCCATTAGAATTCATTCCTCAGCTGAAGAAATTATAAATGGTAGGACTGGCCATGAAAGAAAGACTTCTGCATCGTGATGCTTTCATACCACGCTTCCCTAAGCCCTACGAAAGGACAATGACCTGCACCCTCAAGCCTGTTAGAGGAAGCAGTGTTGTGCCCCATGGAGGGCGCCCCGGCTCTAACTGGGCACCCGGTGAGGAGGCGTTTGCTGTGTGGGTGTCACAGAACAGGGGCCATTTGCTGTCACATTTCTCTCTCGAGTCTATGAGCTTCTCCAGGTTGGGAGAGACCTTTGTGCTCTTCTTCTTCCTCTCCTAACCTAGTGCACATAACACCTAGCCAGGCACGCAGCGAGAGCTCAAGCAAGGTGCTGAGTGAATGAAGAAAGAAACCACCTTACTGAAGTCCCTGGGCTTGGCTGAATTACTCTAGAAGAGCACAGAATTCACTCGGTCACCTGGAAGCGGGGGTGGGG